CTTCTCATTCAGACTCCAGACTGGCGATGTGAGGGTATCAGTGAGAGTGCTGATATTTTTAGGCAGAATAATGACAAGCGTGGTTACTGTGGCTATGTTTTAAGCAGAGCCCTTTTCTATAATATTTCTCTAAAGAAATATTTATGGATGAAATGACATAATGTCTGGGATTGGCTTCCAAACATCCCAGGGGAGGGGCCGGAGGGCTGGGGACAGATGAGCACGCTTCGTCTCGAGCTGGGACTTGTGTGAGCGCGTGCCCAGGTGGGGCGCCTCTGGAGGTATCTGTTTGTTATTTTCCACCGTTGAAAGAAAAAGAAGCGCCTTCTCACCTGACGTGTGCAGAAGGACGCGTGCCAGTGTGTCCTGGGTGCCGTAAGCAGTCAAGTGCCCAGTTACTAGATAAAAGGCTGTCTGTCTGAACCCACTCAGAGGAGGCTTGGAAGAAAGGGCTGGCAACCTGCTTCCCAAGGCTTACAGCCTGGAAGAGCCTACACAAGCAGCTCCCCTCTGCTTGAACTAACACTGCCCGCATGTGTAACAGTTAATAAAGTTCTGTGCAATGTGTATTATATATAATGTTGTTGTTGGTGTTGCTAAGTGCTGTCGAGTCGTAGAGTCATAGTGACCCTATGAACAAAAGACCTGAACACTTGTATAACTTTCATCATTTCTCCATGTTCAGAGAGTTTCTGGAGACAAGCTATTTCAGAAGTGGATGCCACTCCTGCTTCCCAAATCGAACCCACTGCCCCTCCAGCGTGACCCTGTGGGACAGAACAGAACCACTTTGGACAACTCTCAAGGCTGTAAACCTTTATAGAATTGAAGCATTCCACCTCAGCTGATGGACTCGAACCACCAACCTTTTGTTTAGCAGCCGAATTCTTTAACACTACACCATCTCCTTCCTGTATTGCAGATACTCTATAAAAACATTACCTCTCTCTCTGCCCATAGCAAAGAGGACACTTAGATGATTTTATGGTGGATATCTTTGAGGAGTGGGATTAAGAGGTATTTGTGACTTTTACCCATATTTTCAAAAGCTCAAATCACAGTAATGCTTGTACCACAGAAAATGCATAATACATTTTTACTTTGAACGTAAGCAGCAGTGCGGTCTCTGGGATTTGGATTTGAGCTTTGTGGTTACGCTCTTGGCAGCTGAACAAACTACATCCCCCTCGTCCTCAGTATCTCCCTCTGTCAAATGGGGTGAGCATGGTAACATGCCCCCTGCTGCAACAAGCTGGTGTGGGAGAAAGCACGTGGGGGGGGGTGTCTGGGCATCTTTTCTGGCACAGAGAACCAGAAGCCCAGCCCAACTGCTGTCCAACCCTGTCCCACTCAGCGCGACCCCACAGGACAGGGCACACAGTCCCTATAAGGTTTCCAAGGCAGTTGAACTTTGCAGGAGCAGACGGCCACATCCTTCTATGCAGAGCAGCTGCTGGGTTCGAACCACTGACCTTTAGATTAGCAGCAAAATCCTTTAATCCTAGTGCCACAGCCCCTAGGACTCCTGGGCGCAAAGCAGGTGCTCTATGAACACGAGCAAGTCCTACTCTTCCTTCCACCAGCTCCTGGTCTCCAAACTGGAAGCTCAGTTCCACCTGCCTCATCATCGACAACTCCTTTGTGCTGTGCCCTGTTAATCCTAAGAATTGGGGGTGCCTTGTCACCCCCTTTCGCTCTAGGTCACCTTGTCCTAATTGTCCCAGATGCTAGGCTGGCCCTAGCTCTCAGGGGTCAACTGCTGTGAAGTTTACAGCCCAGCCATCCCAGACAGGGTAGGGAGGCGTCATGCTTCAAATTGGCGGCAAGAAGCTAATTATTTTCAGTTTAGCTGCTCTGATCCTGAGTGTGATATGGCCCGGCCTCTCCCTTCCCTCCCCAGCTCCCCCTGCGTCTCAATTAGCAGGAACTTTCCAGCCAGCGAGCGAGCGCCACGGGCATTCAGCGGCTGCACCTACCCGATCTGCTCTCTGCTTGACCTTAAGTTCCTGCTTGTGGGGGCTGCGAGAGCCCAGGTCAGCATGGACCCTGCTCTGGGCCACCCTGCCCTGGCTTACAAGTGACACCAGCAGCAGAACACGCTCTGTGAGTGACTCGCTCCCTCCAGCCTGCTGTCCCCAGCTGTGGCATTAAGGCCCTGAGGTAGGCTGTGCAAGGGATAGGCTTGCACAGGTGACACAGTACACACATGGTGTGGGAACCTTCCAGAAATGACAGCAGTCACTGGGATCGTCAGGTCCCGGGGCTCCGACCTGAAGCCTGGGTTCTCCCTTGCACACTCCGGCAGCCCTGTCCACGCCCCTCGTGCACTCTGCCGCCAGGCTCTGTCTGCAGTGAGGAGGAGGCACCCTCCAGCCTGCCCACAGGCCAACAACCCGATGACAACGTGGACAATGTGGTGCAGCTCAGGGAGGGCAGGGTGACCTGGCCTGAAGCCCGAGGTCTCTGCTCTACGATAAGACTGGTGAGAAGTCCCGGCGTTCAGCACATTTCTAATTATAGCACATCCCCTCTTCCTAACACCACTGTTTACAATTACCATCAACACCCGTTGAAGCAGCAGTCAAGAAATCAAATGAGGAATGGCATCGGGCAGATCGGCCCTCAAAGACCTCTTTAAAGTGCTAAATAGCAAAGATGTTGGTTTAAAGACTAAAGTGTGCCTGACCCAAGCCATGGTCTTTTCAATTGCTCCATATGCAGGCGGGAATTGGACAAGGAATCAGGAAGATCAAAGGAGCTGCGATGTCTTTGAATGGCGGTGCTGGCGAAGAATGTTGAATATATCAGGGACTTCCAAAAGAATAAATGTGTCTTGGACTAAGTGAAGCCGGAGAGCGAGACTGTCTCTCACATACCTCGAGCATGTTATCAAGGGAGGCCAGTCTTGGAAAGATACATGCTGCTTGGAAAAACAGAGGGCCAGGGAAGGGGAGGAAGACCCTCGGCAAGGATGGACAGACACAGTGACTGCAGCAATGGGTGACACACAGCAGAGACGGTGAGAGAGGCGTGAGACCGGGCAGGGCTTCTTTCTGTTGTACACACGATCACTAGGAACCAGGGCTCAGGCAACTCCACAGCACCTAGAAAGACCACTGTTGCACTCTCTGGGGGCGAAAGGCTTCAGGCACTCAACTGTGAACCAAAAGGTGCAAAGTTTGCTTTTCCTGTGAGCGGCCTCAGGTGAGCTCCCAAAACAGTTTGCTACGTGCTTGACCTGAAAAATCCCACAAAATCATGCAAATCAAGAGGCTCAAATCTCCTGGTCCATTTTAAGAACACTCGGAAAACGACCCAGGCCATCAAGGGTACCCATATCTGGAAAGCCACCAAGTATCTGAAAGATGTCACTTTGCAAAAGCAGCGCGTACTCTTCCGACATTACAGTGGTGGACTTGGTAGGTGTGCCCAGGTCGGACACAAGGTCGATGGCCCAAAAAGAGTGCCGAGTATTTGCTGCAGATACTTAAACATGCTGAAAGTAACGCTGAACTTAAGGGTTTAGAAGCTGATTCTCTCTCTGGTCGTTGAGCATATCCAGGTGAACACAGCTCCCAAGGTGCGTTGCTGCACGGACAGAGTTCATGATTGGACTCGCCCTGTCATACTGAGATGAACCTTAGTGAAAAGGAACAGATTGTTCCTAAACCAGAAGAGGAGGTTGCCCAGAAGAAAAAAAGATCTCCCAGAAGAAACTGAGGAAACAAACACTTATGGCTCGAGAATAAATACATCAGCAAAGAAAATGAAAGTAACTTTTTTTTTAAAAGGTGTCAAGTTCAAATCTACCCAGAGGCACCTAGGAAGAAAGGCCTGGTGAGCTCCTTCCTTAAAATCAGGTAAGGAAGAGCACACGGCGTATAGCTCTGTGTGGAACACACACATGGGCTGCCATGGGTTGAAAGTGACTAGTAAGGAGCACTGGGGCACTGGGTATGCAAGAACTAAGTACTTGGCTGCCAACCAAAAGGTTGGTAGTTCGAATCCACCCATTGGCTTCTCAGGAGAAAGGTCTGGAAATCTGCTTCCGTGATGAGTAACGGCCAAGAAAACCCTACGGGGCAGGTCTACTGTCACCTGGAGTCACTGTGAGTCAGTCAACAGCCACCAGCGTTTACCAGTACTGCTCCTGCTTCTGCCAAAGCCACTGCGTGCGCCTGGCCGTGTCCCCCCGCTGTGCTGATGAATACAACGATGGATTACGCCTCATACAAACCTAGGACCAGGTGTGCCTGTCACCTCCGTCCACACGTGGGCGGGCTTCTGGTCCCTCAGCAGTTAGCGCAAGGACTGACTGACTGAGCGTCTCTCACACGGGACGGAGGAGCATGTCCAAGACTTGGCAAGAAGCACAGTGAGGATTTCAACCCCGTGTGTCCCTGTCCTACAGAGTACAGTGCTGGCCGCAGACCAGCCCAAGGAGACGCGTCCCAGCACCGGCCGCCGACTGGAAGCACAGCTTAGAAGCAAGAAGTGGCATCTGGATTTTTTAAAAAAATGGCACCACAGCTACTCCCAGGGAGCTCTAAAGGCCTAATGGTAAGAAATCACAGTGCCATTCCAAAGGCGTGGGGTTCAAATCCACCAGCTGCTCCGTGGGAGAAGGATGGACACTCTCCTCTGGGGTGATTAACTCCCCGCGGAGGGTCAGCGATGGGTCAATCCCAGTTCGACGGCACACCACAACAACAACAGCTACTCCCAGGCGTTGTTGAGCTTGAGATAAGCCAGACTTCGCCAACAACCCTGGAGGATGAGCTGTGTGCCGGATCGTAGACCAGACAGCGTCCACACTCTTGGCACTCACGCGACCTTGGGGAGCCCGTGTGCCGCTGGCCTTTATCACAAGCCCTCTGATGCTGTCAGAACCAGTAGGGAGGACTCCCTCGGCTCCCCCACCTCGCTGGCCCCCTTGCCCGCCCCAGTCCTCCCCGGGAGAAGCTCCAGGTTCCCCAAGGGACAGGCGACGGCTCTGGTACCTTGTAGCCCTGGTTAATGCCATTGATGAACTGAGGGCTGGGGGCGTTCCAGGTGAAGCGGATGGCTGTGGAGTTGGTGGCTTCTGCGTGCACATTGCCGGGAGGGACGGTGGGCACTGGAGGGGATTAGAGAGACACAACGGGGCAGGGGAAGGGTTTTCTCACAGTTCAGTGGAGAAAGATTCCTCCCTCGGCCCTTCCCTCCTGGGTAGACCGTGGGCGCCCTTACTCTCTGGATTAGTTTGGGTTTAAGAACACTGACCCACTGACTGGACCTGCTTCATGGGATAACGACAAAGAAAAGTGACTGGCACCAAAAATATGCTCGAGTGGGTTTGAGGCGTAAAGCTAAATGTTTCATGGTCCAGTTAGCACAAAACGTCCCAGAAGGTCCCCCATGTCCCTGAAGCTTGTGCCCTTGGCAATGTCCAATCCAATCTTATCTCTGGCTTCTGTCTAGTCCTCCCACGAGGAGTAGTGGACACAGAACACTGGCTCTAGACCCAGAGTCTCCAGCAGTGAAAACAGATGACATGGGCTGAAGCTCTGGGCACCTGGCAGGTACAGAACCCACAGACACAGTGACAGAGACAGGATCCGCAGGTACAGAACCTGGCAGCTATAGGACCTAAAGGTACAGGACTCACAGGTGTAAGACCTGCAGGTGGCCCTATGGGCACAGGTGGCATATCTACAGGTACAGGACCTGACACACAGTGGACCTGACAGGTAGAAGGCCTATCAAGTAGAAGAAGATCTGATAGTTATAGGACCTATCACGTTTAGGGAACACATGTCCAGGACCCACAGGTATAGTATCCCACAAGTTCAAGATCCACAGGTCCAGGGCCTGACAGGTTCAAACCCTGCCAGGCACAGACCTAACAGGTACAAGACCCACAGCTATGAGACCCTACAAGTACAGGACCCATAGGTATGTGACCTGACAGGTACAGGACCCGGGAGGAAGTGTCTGCTCCTTATGGCCATAAGCCTTCCCACCTCCCTGCAGCGTCCACTCAGTGACTTTGCTGCTGTAGACGCCCAGGCCAGCGCTGTTGTAGGCGGCCACCTCGATCTCATAGTTGGTCCAGATGATAAGGTCCTCCAGCAGCAAGTTGTTGACATCGGCATCTGTGATGTTCTTGAACTGGTATCCAACGGGCAGCCCAGCCAGGCAGTACCTGGGGAAGGGGAGGGGACAACGGTGCAGGGTCAGTCTGCTCAGCCTGGGCTCAGTCCCTGGCACCCTGGGCGGTGTCTAGAGTGGCCCTGGAGGTGGGATGTCTTTACTGATGGAGAGGCCGTGTGGTGCTGCCTCACGCCGTGACTGCGGGCACGTGGGATGGCTGGGCACTGGTAGGATGACTAGTGCAAGTTGGAACTGAACGGGTGCTTTGATTTATGGTTCATTAACTTAAAGGGTCCCGGATGGGAGGAGGGGCAGGGGTGCTCCCTACCTGATGATGTAACCCTTCAGAAGACCGTTCTGGTGGCTCTCTGGAGGAGGCTGCCACTGGATCATGATGGACTGGTTGGTCCGGCCGCTGGCAATGACGTTCTGCGGAGGGGCTGTGGGAGGCTCCTCGGGGAGGGACACCCTGGAAGCGGAAGCACCAAGACTGAGTGAGACTTCCTGCTTTCAGGCTCTGGGACCAGCACGGGAGGGTCAGGGCGAGGGGGCCGGCGCCCTACCATCCAGTCCTGGATCACTCTGCACAGCTACGAGGTGCAGTCAGGAGGTCTGGGGTCCAGAGCATCTTGGCTTGAGCTGTGGACTTACCACTTGGCTGCTGTGTGCTTTGGGGCAAGATGCTTAACCTCTCTGAGCTTGTTACACAGAATTGAAAAATAAAGTTTCACCTACCTGCTTTATGAGACTGTATGAGGCTCCCAGGAGACCCCTGTGCTTTCCAAAGCCCAACCCCAGGGCCATGGAGTCGATTCTGGTTCACAGGGACCCGGGAGCTTTGAGTCGAACTGTCCCACAGGGGTTTCCACGGCAGCCTTGGAAACCCGTGGGACAGTTAGACTCTGTGCATCTCTCCTTACAGAAGCAGCCTGCCTCATCTTTTTCCTGCAGAGCCACTGATGATGGGTTTGAACCATGGACCTTTTGATTCACAGCCAAATGCTCTCACCACTGCACCACTGAGGCTCCTGACTGCCCCAGAGAACCAGTGAAAAACACTCAGTGAAATGAACGGACCGTGGAGCCGCTGGCCCAGCAGGGTCACTGTTAGGTTCTACTGAGTTAGATCCTGGACGACAAAATCAGCTGCACGCGGGGCTCCCTGCATTAGGATCTTTATGGGAGCAGACAGCCAGCCCTTTCTTCCTCAGTGCTCTCAGGTGGGTTAGAACTGTCAACTCTCTAGTGAGCAACTTTGCATTTAACTATTATGTCACCAGGACTCCTTCTGACCATCAACAACGGCTGTGTGTGTATCTCTGTCTCTATCTCTGTATCTCCATTATTATTGTTGTTGTTATTATTATTATTATTCATCTATATCTATCTATCTATCTCAGCCTCACAGGAGTTCCACGACATCCAAACCTGATCTGTCCCTATCTATGTGTAACTGTCCTTCCTCCCCCACCTACCCACCCAGCCATCTAGTAATCAATCAATCAATCCATCGAATGTCTGACTAGTTATCTAGCTGGCTTTCAAATTTATCAATTCAATTTAGTTCTCTATCACTCAGTTAAGTTAGCTAACTAGCTATCAAATCCATCAATTCATCCATTATCTATCCATCCATCCATCCATCCATCCATCCATCCATCCATCCATCCATCCATCCATCCATCTATTATCTATCTATTGTTTATCTAACTTACATCTATCTATCTATCTATCTATCTATCTATCTATCTATCTATCTATCTATCTATCTATCTTAGTTGTTGTTGATTGCCTTCAAGCTGAGCACGACTCACAGCGACCCTATGAACAAAAGGCCTGAAGCCCCTCTACCACTATCGACATTTATCAAAGTTCACAGAGTTTCCAGAGGCGTGTTATTTAGGAAGTGGATGCCACTCCTGTTTCCAAATATATGTATGTATGTATGTGTATACACACACACAATTTTCTTAAAAAATTCTTTTCTATGAGAGACACCGTCCTCAGCCTCCCATTTCTCAAAGCAGTTGCTGTTGAGGCTGATGAAGCTGTGAGTGGTTAAGAATTTAAGAAGGAGACTGCAAAAGAAGGACGAATTTCCAGACATCGCAGAGAGCTGACCTGAATACTCCCCCTTGCCTCCCCTCCCTCCGCTGAGGCGTGGGGCGACTGCAGCGGAGAGCTCGGGGCGCCCAGCCTGCAGAACCCCAGCACCCGATTCCTCTGGCGTTGCTGAGGACACATCCTCTGTGGATTTTTCACACAACTGACAGGTATCCATTAAAAACAAAAGTTCATTATTTTTGATAGATGTCTTCCCTTTTTGTTTATTCCGTGGCTCGCTTTCTGATGGATGGTGGCCCAGAATGCACTGCACACACCCCGTCTTCACCAAACCTGCAGTAGGGAATCGCATCTTCACCATCTGTGAGGGGACGTGGCCCATTAGGGTGCAGAGACCCCAACAGAGGGTTACTCGGTGGCACATGGCGTTGGATACAGGGGCTCTCAGATACCACAGGGCCTCTGGTGGTTTACAGCTGCAGCATGGCTGGGGTCTGTCTTATGTGGTTCCTAGACCCTCCTCAGTGGTCACACAGGCCTGGTACATGGTCCAGCTCACCTCAAACCAGTCAATTCCAAGGCATGGAGACCCTCATTGGGCTTCTGAGTCTGTAAGACCTTATGGGACTGCTTGGCACTTCTCCTGAGCACTGCCTAGTGGATTTGAACCGCTAACCTTTCACTTGGTGCAGCATATAAGGCACAACGCCACAGGGCTCCTTACAAGACTCCAAGAGCAGACGCCGGGGTCAGGCACTGCTGCACGGTGCAGTGGTTTCTGCTGCTTCCAGTCTTGTTCCAAGAAGCCAGGCCCACTGCTCCCGCCTGTTCCATGTGCTGCGCTGGCTACAACCAGGCCCCTCCTTACGTGAGGGCGTCACAGAGGGACGTCTGGGAAGAGCTGATCTGCTTGTAGTCTGCTTCCATCATGCTGAAAAAGCTTTGGTGAGTGGCTTTTGGTGTCACACAAGGCATTGAACACGAGACGCCGTGAAGGCCCTCAACTTCGCTGGGACTTGGTAAACACTGATGGTCCCCACAGGACACAGGACGCTAAGGAGACCCTCTGACCCACTGGGACTTTCACACAGTGATCACAGAGTAGAACGAGACGTTTGGGACCTGCACAGCTCTAGTGTGAGTGGCTTCTGACTCACAGTGACTTTCTGGGTGGCTCCCTGTGTGGCTTTCAGTGCCTGACAACCAGGCTTTTCATCCTGGGGTGACTCAGAATCGTCAGCCTTTTGTCAGCCTCCAAGAGCCCATAGTGTTTGCACCTCGGGGGGTGGGGGGGGACAGCTACACTTCTCTTATCTCATGCGAAGCTGCTTCCAGTGCTGTCCCTGTATCCTGTCACTTCATCCTCACAGTATGTCTGCGAGGACTCTTAGCCCCATTTCACAGCTCTGCAGACTGAGGCTGGAGGGGAAACGAGCAGCTCGGCGGGGCACTCCAAATGACCAGCCTCACCTCACCACTCTGGACTGGTGGTGCTCTGCCCCTCTTCACACCCGCCCACCACAGCTGGCAGGGCCCAGCTGCAGACAGCGGACCCCCTCACCTCTCCGTGTCCCTGCTGAACTGGCCCTTCCCCACGTCGTTGACGGCGCAGAGGCGGAACTGGTAGGAGCGTGCAGGAACCAAGCCCTTAACCATTACTGAGGTCGCCTCGGGGTCCACGCTGGCCAGAAGCACGGTCCAGGGGGCATCTGCAAGGGAAATCGGGTGGGGCTGAGGTGAGTGTCCAGTAGCCTACTGGTCTGGGCCAGCAGAAGAGCGCCTGTCCTTGTGTGTGGAAGACGATGCCAATCGCACCACTTTTCTCTTGTTACTTTAGCCCATATGACGGGAGTCAGAGGATGATGGGGAGAAGCAAGAGCTCATGGGAACTGGGATGCATGCATCTTTTTTCCACTTGTTTCTTTTCTAATTAATGAGCTCTGGGTGACCCATATTCAAGTCACCACTCAGAATCCTCAAACAGGGCAACCCTTTGCTAGCAAGTCAATTCTAACTCCTGGCACCCCGCTTGTGACAGAGGAGACAGGTCAGCTGATTTGGGGTTCACATCCGGGGACCTGGAGAATGGAAATACACGGAGCTGCCAGCTTGCATGCCCTTGCGGGTCCTGGACGCCGCACTCGTGTGTGTTTAACTTGTTCAAACTCTAGAAGGACCCAAGAAGGGAAGCACCATGGACTCATTTCACAGATGAGGAAGGGAAGCTTCCACGGTACAGAAGAGGAGTTCTTATCTGGGACTCCCTTGCTTTCAGCACGGGCTCCCTGGCTCCCTGGGCCTGGCTGCAGTCAGGGGCGGAGGCTGGGCTTGGGCCTTACTGTTCTCGGACATCTCCAGGACGTAGCGAATCAGAGGACTGTTGCCGTCGAAGGGTTTGGCCCAGGTCAGGTTGATGGCTCGCTTCTCCACTGCACTGAGCATGGCCACTGGGTGCTCGGGGGCGTGGGGCAGCTGCCTGGAGGAGAGAGGGGTGGGGGGGGCCACCTGTGAGGTTGGAGTCAGGGGGTGGTGCCTCGCGCCTTGGGGCCTCTATCTGGACATTCATCTTTGGTTTGGGGACCCTGGTCAGACCCTCACCCAGATGCACCTGAGTGGAGGAAGACCTGGGACAATGCTTGGGGTGTGTCCAAGAGAAAGCAGGCGGGCCCAGGTCAAGCCAGGCCTGCTAAGGGGACCTGGCTTCTTCTGAGCCTGCGCCCCTGGGCCTGGGACCCCTCACCTGACCCGCAGGTGAGCACTACGGGAGTCGTTGCCCCCAGCAGACAGCACTCGGCAGGTGTAGGTGCCAATGTCCCCCGACCACGTCTGCGAGATGTGCAGAGCACCGGTCCTGTCCACGCGGATGCGGGGGTTGTTTTCCATGGCCAGGGTGGCCCCATCCTTCTCCCAGACGTACCTGAGGAAGAGAGGCAACAAGGAGTGAGGGCAGGGATGTAGGTGCCCCAAGGGGCCGAGCTGAAGCTGGACCTGGGCAGGGAGCCCCTGAAGGTGTCGTTGCTCTGCTGTTGCTCAGATTGACCTCGTGCCCACTAGGACCTCATGCCAAACACCATCTCCACAACGAGCACAGTCTATGGCCTCCCTGTGGCCCATCGTGTTTTCACTGACCGACTGTTCATAGTTGGCTCTCAGGCCTTTCTTCCTCGTCTTTGTCTGAAATCTGTACAGCATCCTAGCACCTGGCAAGACCTCATCGACAGGTGCGTCGAGTGCTGTGTATGAGGTGGCACGGTCAGGATTCGAACCCAGGTCTCTCACATGGAGGGCAAGAATTCTACCACTGAACCATCACTGCTGCTTCCAAAGGGGAGTTAACCAACCCACTGCTGTGAATTGGGCTCCAACTCCTGGCAGCCCTACTGCATGGAGAACGGCCTCAGGGCTTCCAAGGCTGCGCTGTGGGGATGTCGTTCAGAGCACGTGACAGGGGTGGGGTGTGGGGCTCCGGTCACTGTGCTGACCTGAGGTCACTCATATGTTAAGATTACAGCTTCGGAAATCCAAGGCACGGAAATTAGGAGCCGGGATTAGCTCTGCAGGGAGGTGTTACGTGGCTTGTCTGAGGCTTTATGGAAGTTCATTGATGATCGGTGAGGATGGCCTCCTCGCTAACTCTGCACTGGGTTTCCGAGGCTGTAAGTCACACGGACACAGTGTCCGTCTTTCTCCCTCGGCACTGCTGGAGGACTCACCCTGCCAGAGGGGCCGCCTCAGAGCTCCCCTGCAGAGCGCTCAGGGGATTCAAACTGCCAGACTTCTGTTTAGCCGCCAAACACTTAACCACTGTGCCACCTGGGCTCCTTCCAAAAGCAGGAGGGAGAGGCATGCTCTAAGTGTGCACCCATTGAGAAGCTTCCAGCCTCCTGGCCGCAGGTCACCGCAGAGCCCCTGGACCTGGTGGTGGGCTGGACAGGGATCTACACTTGAGGGAGAGTGAAGCCCCAAGCCGCTTACAAGCAACAGCTGCACAGCCATCGACTCAGTGAGTCACGGTGACCCCGTGTGGAAGAGCAGAACTGGCTCCACAGGAATTCTAGTGACGGATTTTTGGGGAAGAAGATTGCCAGGCCTTTCTTCCAAGGCACCTTTGGTTGGACTTGAACTTCCAACCCTTTAGTCGGCAGCTAAGAGTGTTAACACCATCCCTGAGGGTAGTAGGGTCAACACACGAAGTCATGATCAGTCGCTTGAACCTTCAGACGAGGTTGAGGTCAAAGCTTTGCTGCCAGGCACTCAGCACAGGGGAGCAGGCCAGGAGTGCCCTTCCGAAGAGAGGAATAAAAGGGAAAAGCATCCATGTTTCCAGCCAGGCTACATATTGGAATTAGTTTTATGAAGGGAATTATTAGATCGATGTATCACGGTGACAAATTGACACTGGTGTCCAAAAAAAATCACTTTAGCTTCAGTCAAGGCAGGACAGAAGGAGCTTGAGAAATGACACGCATGCCCGCGCCTGACAATAAGAAATATCATTTCTGGAATTGTTCTGGAGGAAAGATACTTATTAGGACTGTGCCAGCACCCCAAGAAGGCCAGCGTGGTCCTCAGCTCATGGCCGGGGTGCGGTGCAGCCAGGACCCGCTGACCAGGGGAACAACCCGCTTAGCCGCTAGGCCTGGGGAGTGGGCAAGGGCTTAACCCACAGGATCGCGGAACTCTGTGGTTAGAAACCGGCAGCCTTAACAGCCGTGGAGGCGGAGAAGCCGGGGTCCACCCTCCACAAGAGGACCTGTCCGCATGGCCACTGTAACAGTGGGCTCGAGATTATCAGAGTTGGTGAGGCTGGCACCGAATAGGGCAGGGTCCAGATCTGATGTTCCCAGGGTCAGTATGAGTGACCATCGACTTGATGGCATCTCAGTTCTGCGTCACGTGGGCCCACCAGAGGTCAGGGGCTGACAACAAGAAGCATTGCCAAGAAGAGGGAGTCGTCGTCTGTAATGTCTTTTTAGCTTAATTTTTAAAACAGCCAAATTAGAAAAGTATATTACATAGATTTAAACAGCAATAAAAGAAGAAATTCTCAATTACTCTTGTGGTGGTGGTGTATCGTCAAGCCAGACCTGACTTACAGCTGGGCCCCCAGCGGGTTTTCAGAGGCAGTTACCTGAACGGGAGGAGACTGCCCATCCTTTTCCTTTGGAGCTGCCGGTGGGCCCGAACCGTGCACCTTTGGGCTGGCAGCACAACTCCTTACGATGAAGCCACCAGAGCTTCCTGTGAGTCCTGGGTAACGGTAATGAGCACCTGAAGGTGCACCTTCTCTGCCCCAGCCCCCCTGCAGGTAGGATGAGCTGTACTACACGGTAAGAGGGTCCTGAGGTCACACTCTGGCCACATGTTACCGCTGCCACCTATCACTGGGTGGTCTTTGGCCAGTTCACTGGAGGTCTCTGTGCCTCCGTTTCCTCAGCTGTAATTTCAGGAGAATCACGTCACCAATTTCACAGACTCACTGCGACTCTGGTGGTCTAGTGGGTAAGGGGCTGTGCTGCCAACCCAAAGGCAAGAGGTTCAAATCCACCAGATGCTCCACAGAAGAAAGACGGGCGAGCTCCTCCTGTGGGATTTACTGTCTCGGAAAACCCACTAGAGGGTCCGCTAATGAGTTCCGACTCCACGGCACACAACAACAACAACACAAAGTAAGAGTAGCATCCAGCAGGTGGTAAACGGCTGATGACAATTCGTAATGTAGTTCCACACACACAAGTATATTTACAAAATGCTATCTAGTTAACTGTCGAACTATGCTGACTGTTACCAGCTGCTTTTTCCACTGGAAAAAAAGAACCAACAAACCCGTAAAACTCTTTCTAAGGAGACCCTGGCAAGCCACGGACTCTATCAGCTGCACGGACGCCCAGGGAGGTGGCCGAAGAGTGTGATTGATACTGGACGGCTGGGCAGTCAGTCCTTATTCTCTGCTCTTATATTTAACGCTGTGTTCTTAGAGCAAAATACGTACACACCTTCTCAATCTTTCCCTTAGGGTTAAATTTTCAGAAGTGAAATTCCTGAGTTCATTTTTAAGGCTTTTGATACTTCCGTCCAAACTGCCAAAAGGAATCACCTTCAGTTGATGTCTTCACGCAGAAAAGAATCAGTAGGTAGGGTGTGGGTGTACTGAATGGACTTTTACTTAAAAACAAATCTCGTTGCTTAAGAAACAATTTATGACAGATTTGCCTCAGGATACGGCACTGTAGGAAGTTTACAGCACCACCTGTGAAGTATTTCTGCCAAGACAATTGAAGTTGAATGTAATTAGCAGTTAATGGAATTGAATTAGACATACAGGGGACAGAAGAACAAGTTAGAAACACTATAACAGAACCCTCTGTCTGTTTGTGTAAATGAAGTTTTCTTCGTGACCAAAGCTTAAACATTTTTTTAATGATAAAAAAAATCTTATTGTGATTTGATTAAAAGTTTCTAAGACCAAATGGCTCTTCTGTTCCACAATTCTTATACATTATGTTTGTGACATTAGTTATTGTGTAAATAAAGTTTTATTGGAACACAGTTAGTTATGACAAGGAATACAAAGCTCCCCAAGACTGAAATACTTATTTCCTGCTCTTTCATCTACAGGAAATAGCTGGCTTCTGTTCTATTGTGATTGGAGTTAAGTGTCATCAAGTCAGAACTGACTCACAGCTGACCCTCCACTTGGTTTTCACAGGCAGTAAATCACACAGGAGGAGACTGGCCATCTTTCTCCCATAAAGCATCTGGTGGATTTGAACCGCTTGCCTTTGGGTTGGCAGCACAACTCCTTACCACTAAGCCACCAGAGTTTCTTTTGTTCTGACAGAACCTGGTTTTTCTCAACACATTAACTGTATCCATAGAAAAGGAAAAAAAACATAAAGAAACAGGACCAATCATAGAACAAAAAGAGACACACTCATCAACTGCAAGGTGTGGACCTTGTTTAAATCCTGAATTAAACTAACGACACAAAAAGATCCTTTGTAGACAGTGGGGGAAACGGAAATAGGGATTAGCATGAGAGGAAATCAAAGAATGGTTCATTGTGTTAAATGTGACATTGTGGTGGTTGTGATTTTATAAGGAGTCCTTTCAGAAAGCAATTGACACAGACACACTTAAGGTGAAATTACATGTCTGGCATTTGCTTTTAAAATATTCTTCAAAAATATAAAAAAAGCGAGGGAGTAGATGAAATGCAATAGGCAAATGTCGATAATTGTTGGAGCTGAGTGATAGGTACAAGAGGCTTAATCGTACCATTCTCTTCCTTCTGTGCGTTTGAAAATTTCCACAATTTTCAAGGAAATTAAAGAAGCGAAGCGAAGCAACAGCCTGTGAGTTCATTCCATTTAGATGGGGTGAGGTTTTCCAAGAGAACCCTCAGGTATACAGCTGGCTATCCCACAGTTACGAGGAGTGCTTCTTGGGGGCCCGAGCCCCAAATCACCTCAGATAATCCCCAGGAAATCAAGGACGTGGTGCAAAAAAACCAGTTACAAGGACATTGACGACAGGAGTTCTTCAGATTAGCAAAAACGGAGACAACATGCAAGCACTCAGCAGAGAACAGATGCCCTGAACTACCTCACATCTTACAGCGGGCCACGGGGCAACTGAGCTTACAGGGCAGCGTTTATTAACGTGGGGACGGAGCCACAGCAGATTCTGAAATGAAAACGCAGACTAAAAGACAGCGTCTTTCTAACTTGTCAAAGGGCACCCAGATGTTATTCTGATAATCTCTAATAGGAGAAGCAGATCTTGTAATTTCTCTTGGTTCTTCTGTTTTTCAGTCTATTTTCTCTTTATTCCCAAACCAATATAGCTTGTTGTCAGCTGCTATCATCCCTGATTGGGAGACCCCAAGCCCAATGGATCGACCCGACGCCTTGGGTCTGGACTGTCCCATGATGGGCTGTGGATCAGCTCTTTGGTCTCTCTTGGGTTTCACTGGCTGGTTTTCAGCAGACTGCCAGTCTTTCACCCGAGTTTGGCTTTAGTTGGGAAGTTTGGCTGAAATCTGTTCAGAATCTTAGCAACAAACAAGTCTGCACTGGCAGGTGGTGGGAGCTCCGTGTATCGGCCAGGAGTTGAACCTAAGTATCCCATGTGCAAGTGGAGAATCCCATCACTAAATCACCATTGTCCCCATACGAGGATATATCTAGGGAGTCCTGGCGGTGCCGAGGCTAAGTGCACAGTTGCCGTCTGAAAGGTTGTCAGATCAAGGCCACCCAGGGGCTCCTGGGGAGAAAGACTGCAGCCTTAGTTCTCTTTGCCTTGTGAGGTTGCTATGAGTCAGTGATGACTTGACAGTACCTAACAAGGAGCAGTTATAGAATAAAAATAGCAGCACTAATATTTTTATAAACATGATTAACAGCTAACGGTGACTTGCTTGGATTCTGCTGATCTGGGCTCAGCGGCAAACAGGCGAGCTCTGTTGAGAAGTTGTTTTGCAGGCTTTTGACACTAGGAACCTCCCCAGGTCACAGTCACCTCAGACCTGGGCTGTGTCCTGAGAGCACAGAAGGAAGGGAGGAGCCCTAGTGGCACGGTGGGTAAAGAATCCAGCTCCCAGCCAAAAGGCTGATGGTTTGAACCCAGTAGCTGCGCCTTGGGAGGAAGATGAGGGAGTCTCCTGTGAAGATGTAAGACCTTGGAAACTCAGTGAAAGATCAAAACGGGTTGGAATTGACTCCACTGCTGTGAATTTGGCTTCCCCCTCAAAAAAAAAAAGTTGTTGATATTATAAATATATGTATGTGATTTCAATGCATGCATTTGCATCTATGTTGACATGACATGATAATGAGTGTATCTCAGTGTCTCAGATGTATCCTCAAGGGTTCTGAGTTCTCTTCCCTCTTGGAATCGGGTTGGACTAAAAGCCCAGTGCCCTTTACCTTGTCCTGGTTCCCCCTAAACCAGCTGTCATCATGTTAATTCTGACTCAGGGCAACTTCACATGGGTCAGAGTAGAACTATGCTCCACGGGCTTCTCAAGGGTTGATTTCCCCCCTCTCCCAAGGAGACAGCCAGGCCTTTCTTGCACAGCTCCTTTGAGTGGACTTGAACTTCCAACCCTTGCCTTGGCAGCCCTGTAGGCTGGGTCTCATTAGGCAGGTCTGTATGGACTGTCATATGCCCAGTGACCACCAGGTGGCGCCCCAGGATGCAGCTGCCTCCAGGCGTGGCGTCGAGGGCTGGCGAGGGGTCACCCCTTTCTCCAAGTGGCCTCTGTGTCCCTTGTAGCTTGCAGCCAGTTGCTTCAGAAGTGACACTGCCCATGAAATAGAGGAGCAGCTTGCAGGGGACGTTTATTTTTAAGTAAGCAGCAGTTCTATTTTTGATTTGGCTCGGGGGACAGTCAGGGGCCCTCCCAGCTTTATTTAATCCTGGAACGTTCCTGCAGCTGGGGAGGGGCCAGCTTTTTTTGGCCACTACCGGTTGCTTTCTTCAATGGAGCCAGGCTCCCTGGTAGCTGCTCCTTTGGGCGAGGAGGTCCAGGCATTTTCACCCTCACTTGCTTCACCTTGAGGGTCACCCCACAGCCATCACTGTCCCCAGACCCAGCACTGTCTGCCGAGATCCCCTCACTGTCCCCTGTGGCAGAAAGTCCTGCAAGGGGTGTTCAGGGTCTCAGCAAGAGCCCAGAGCCCTCCACTGCTCACTGACTTTCCTGCACCTTTCTTTTCCTCCTCCACAGGCCCATCCCTTCTTCCTCCCGCTCTGACACCCTACAAGCCAATTCCAGGTGGCTCAGAACCCAGGGATTTATTTAGCCTCTGCAGGTGCACAGGCAGGAGCTCTGACAACAGTGTAATTACTGCATTTGGCTGCGAAGTGAAAGGTCACAGGTTTGAACCCACCAAGCTTTACAACCCTGGAAGCCTCGGGGGCAGCTCCACCCTGTCCTGTGCAGTCACTGAGTCGACCGATGGGTGCAAACGGTTCCCGTGTTACGTCAGGCAGCTCAGCTGCTGTCTGAGAAGCGGGAGATTCGAGTCCATCCCGAAGGCTGGAGAAAGAAAGGTGTGGTGATCCACTCCCAAAAGTCCAGCCTGGACACTCTGTGGAGTCGGATCCACTCTCACACACAGGTCATAGTGAGACCCTGTCACTGCTCGTCGGGTTCGATTTGATGGCACTTGACTTTCTCAGCTTTGCTGGGTCAGCCTTGCCCTCAGCTCCACGAACAGCCCCCAAGGACACAGCACGGCCCCAGGGGCAGTACTTATGTCCAACCACAAGCTACCCCTGTGAGTGCCCCCCCCTCCTGCCTGCAGAGCCGGACGATGGGGTCACAGAGTTAGCGGGCACATACCTGATGGTCACTCGGGGGTCATGGGTCACTCCACACACCATGGAGGCCTGGGTGCCCTTGATGACGCTCTGGTCCTGGGGGGGCTTAGTGATTCGGGTCCGGGCTGAAGGAGAGTAGAGGGGACAGCGTGGTGAGAAAAGGGAAGTGGTTCCCAGAGCAAGGCAGGTGGTGCTGGAGGAGGGAAGGCGATTTTAGGAGAATGGGGACCGTGTGGCTGGACTAGGTGGTGAGTGGAGGCAGACCCAGCTGGGACAGGTCTGCAGTGTGGACGTCCCAGGAAGGTGACCGGGAAGAAAACGTTCATCCATGCTGTTTACTTCTAGGAAGCCACGTTTATAATGGGGACTGGAAGGTTCTCCCAACTCTAAAGGCAGGGATGTGATAATGGGGAAATGTTCACAGCACCTCAGTGAGACACACAGGGTCAGACAGACTCCGGATACTCAGTCCAGTGCCAGGCCCCCCATATCACCCGGGGGGACCCCAGGAGGTACAGTCTCAGACTGAAAAGGGCTTGAGGAGGTTCCCTTAAAACAGGGACCTGCAAAGGACAGCCTGGGGCTGAGCCCCTCACCCCACCTGCCTGGGTCGATACCTGCTTACAGGAAGGCAGCCACGCCCACCAGTTACAAATCGTCTGTGGCTGTCCGCTTGCTGTGGGCCGTGACGGAGACGTCTGGCCCACAAAGCCCAAAATAGCCCCTTCTCAGGTGTTTTACTGGAAGAGTTTACTGACGTCTGCCTTCCAGTGTGTGAAGACGGCTGTGATGCCACTGTCACTTCCAACAAACAGGCACCATGTCCAGGCCCCTGCCCTTCCAGGCCCCTCTCCTCTGTCAAGCCCTCTCGTGAAGATGTCCACTGGACAGACCTGTAAAGTGACCTCGCGCACCACACTCACTTACCCCAGACGACCAGGTCTGCCGAGGCCTCGTCCACCCCCCGGGAGTTGGTGGCCAAGCAGGTGTAGGTGCCAGCGTCAGAGATGTGCGTGGGGCTGACCAGAAGGCTGCCGGACTCCAGGAGTGTGAAGCGGGGCAGCTGGACAGAGCCACTGGCCAGGATGCGCTCCCCTGGGGGCAGCAGGGGACAGAGTGGGGAGGGGCTCACGCTGCAGCCCTTCTAACAGCTCACCCAGAAAGCCCCTGACTCCTCACCCCAGCAGTGCACACAGGCGGCTCCCCAGCCCAGCCCCCCATCGCCCCCAAGCAATCTCTCAAATCTCTGCTCAGGCAGTGCCTCCTACATCCCCCCCCCGGAAGTTCCCTGACACCCCAATCCCAAGGCAGCCTCCTGACACCCTGCCTAAGCTGCACCTTGACAGACACCTCACCCAGACAACCTTCTCACAGTCCATCAGGACGCCCACCAACACCTTGCCCAGGTAGCCTCCTAACACCACCCAGGTCGGCCTACTGATGCTGCATCCAGATAGACCCCCAACACCTTGTCCAGTCAGCCCCCAGCCCCCACCCAGGCAACCCCCTATGACCTTGTGCAGGCAGCCCCCCTCCCCCCCGACACGACCCTGGAAACTCTGCAACAGGAGTCCTCAATGTTCCACCTTGGCGGCCTCTGCCACCCAAGTCCACGCCAGCCTGCCCTGGTCCCTTACACCCTGTTCCAGCAGCCGGAGTTCTCTGCATGCCCAGACCCTCCACTCACCCACTCCCCAGCCCTCCTTGGCAGGGTGGCAGGGTGGCCTCAGACAGGCTCCTGACACTGAAAAGCTAGAGGGTCCCAGGGAAGCCTGAGGCCAGAGAGGTTTCTGACTTGGTGAACGGTACGAGGTCACCCAGCCACAGAGGGCAGAACCAGAAGCCCAAGTCTCCTGATGCACCCTGTCCTCACGACCTGTCCCCGCGTTGTCTGCCCTTCACTGTCTCCAGAGCCCGGGGCAGTCGCTGGCCAGGGAGCTGGGGGAGGGCAGCTGACGGTGCTGACAAGGTGGGGGTGGGCGCCCTGTGGCAGGAAGTCACTTTCAAGGGAGTGAGGTCAGAGAAAGGAGGGAGGACAGCACAGAGGGACGGGGCAGGGAGTCCTGGAGCATCCTTCTGTGGTGGGGCCTGGGGCCTGACAGACGGGCCCTGACCAGACAGCAGGAGTGAAGACTGCAGAAGGGGTGCTTGGGTGTGCTCAGAGTGTGGGGGTCAGGCACCCACTGTACCCAAGCTAAAGAAAGACCTGCCTCTCCGGTCAGGAGCCCTGATGGCTTAGTGTGTAAATCAAGTCCCAGGCTGCAAACAACTGAAACGATGGTGGTTTGAATCCACCAGCTGCTCTGTAAGAGAAAGATTTCCAGCCTCAGAATCCTGATGGAAGAACGGTCATGATGGGCTGGAATCCACTGGACAGCAGAGGGGCTCTGTGGCTGGCTGGGCGACTCCAGGTGTGAGTCTGCGTGTGTCTATTTGCACACTTGTGTGGGCAAGAGGGGCATGAGAATGTATCTATCCAGAGTGTGTATTTCCCTTTTGCAATATGCTTGATTGTGTAGCCCTGGTGTGTCCACTTGCTGTACAGAGGTAACCTGTGGTTGCTGTGAAGCTGAACACTGTGACACTGATGTGTCAAATGTGATAATGGTCACCCATGTTGGACAGTGTTTGGTGGAGCTCCCCGATTAAAACAAGCTTGGAAACAGGAGTGGCATCCACTTCCGTAACAGCTTGCCTCCGGAAACCCTATGAACCTGGAGAGAGGATGAAAGTCACGCAAGTGCCGAGGACTTTCGTTCATAAGGTTCCTATGAGTCGCCTACGACTCGACAGCCCTTAACAACAGCAACAATATGGCTGCATTTATTACAAGTTAGTATCAAACATTCACGTGCTTGTGCGTATGTGCGTGTATATATGTGCTCACATGCATGTACACGTGGGTACCTGAGTGTGTACATGAGGGAGTTGTGAAGGTGAATGTGCAGGAGGGAAGGAGGAGGTATGTGTGGCCTGGGACTCAGACCATAGAGCAGGTGTGACCAAGGATAGGGCAGGTGGGTCAACGCCTTGGAGAGGAGGGGTGGTCTCCAGCCTGCACTCACAACAGTAAAAACTAACATGGGACAGCATCTGGTAGCCACCCCTTCCCGGGCTCCAGGGACAGGACACTCTCCCATGGGGTCTTCTCAATGACCCTGGGGTACCACTCTCACCGTCTCCACTTCACAGATGGGGAAATTGAGGCTGGTTGAGCAACAGCTGGGGAGCCTGTAGTGCACGCTAGGTACGAACCGTGATGGTCTCATGGACTGTGCGATGCACAACCTTCACACCTGTCCAGGGGGCTGGGCCTGACCTGGAAGGCTCCAGAGTCCAGCTCCAAGGGTACAGAATAGGCCACCTCCCCACCCAGGCACAGCCTGTACCTCCTACCTTTCTGCCACGTGATGGCTGGCCGAGGGGCTCCTGAGGTCTCGCAGGCCAGCACCACAGACATGCCGTCGATGACCGTGCTGTCCAGAGGGCCCCTGGTGATGTTGGGGGCGATGCCTGTGAGAGGAGACAGTGGGGTTTCTTAGCCACACCCTGGGGAGGGCCTCACAGCCACAGACTTGCCCCCATGCCTCTGCTATTAACCCCCAGAAAAGGAGGAGGTACATTGAGGGGTCCCAGCCCTGGCCAGGGCACAGAGATTCCCCTTGGGCTCCTGTGCCAGCTGTCCATGAGTGGGTGATCATGCCTCCTGCTGCCTGGACTCTTGGGCCTCCAGTCAGGGGAGATCCGACACCCCAGAGAGAGGCCCACAGCTGTGAGTACTTCAGTGGGAGTCAGCCTTCGTGGAACTAGGAGAGAAGCTCTGGTTTCTTACAGGAAAAAGTGGCTGCTAAGAAAACAGCCCCCTCTCTAACAGCTGCTCCAGGAGCTCCTCTCAGCCAGGTGGGCTTTGTCACAGCCTCTGGGTTCTGGGTTCGGGTCCCTAAGCCCACCTCTCACTGACGGACATGGTGGACGCTCTCAGGAGCAGGGCTGAAGCACAGACTACATTCACCGGCATCGACAGAGGCAAGAACAGCCCCCCGGCTCGTGCTGTCCCCCATCTGCCGGCCACGAGTGGAGCCCAAGGAGGTGCCCTCACGTCCTCGTATATGGCTGATAAGGGGACATGTGGACAGACACTGACACGGAGCTTGACCATTTTCACATTGGGCATACTCGGTTTCTCGGCACATCGCTAGGACAGCTCTATCGAGTGGGCGGCTATCAAAACCCCAAGCCGAGCCAAGGCCCACCCACTGCTGTCCCATCAACGCCAACTCAAAGCTGCGCCCCAGGACAGAGAGGAGCTGCCCCTCTGGGCTTCCGAGGCTGAGAACCTTTATGGAAACAAGGCAGTCACGTCTTCCTCCTGCAGACTGGGCCCAGTGCTTAACCACTGTGCCACCAGGGTAGCTATTCCAAAAAAACCAACCCCCTGCCAGCTACTCGACTCACTGTGACCCCTCTGGAAACACAATGGGGTACAGTTTTCCACGAGGCACACGGGGTCATTGTGCATCAGAGCTGATCCCATTGCAACTGGGCTTTTGGCTGGTTTTTTCAAAGAGCCCGTCCTTGGCTCCAAGTCACTGGGGTAACTCCTAGACACTGGAGATTTCCTCAGAAGCTGTGACTTCAGGGCTAGAGCAATGGCGGGGTTACTTGTTGGGGGTCCCCAGGCTGCGAGGCTAGGTACCTTCTGGAGGCCCAGCTTTGGACAGCATTCTATTGTAAGGAGGTTCCAGGGTGGGAAGAAAGCCACGTCCCCAGCCAGAGGGTCACAGCAGGCCAGGGAAGGCCAACTTACTGGTGACAGCCAGGTACGTGGAGGTCTGCACCTCGCCGGCTGCATTGCGGGCAAAACACTGGAACATGCCAGTGTCGTCGGGCACCAGGCCACTGATCTGCAGGCCCCCATCGCCACGCTGCCGGAAGCGGGCCAGCTTCTCCACCTGGACCACGGCCGCATCCTTGTACCAGGTGATGGAGGGCGGAGGCACACCTGTGGGGTAGACAAGACCTCAAGGTCAGCCTGCTTCCTCCCCCAACCTCTGAAGGTGTTCAGCTGAGTCTAGGTTGAGCCTGCCAGGGCCCCCTTTGAGAACCTCCTCAGAGCTCTGTACCAGGTTTGAAGGGTGTCAAGGGGCCATCGTCCCAGGGTTCCACCAGTCTCTGTGGGATTAGGAAACCAGGCCTTTTTATGGTTTTAAAGTTTTGTCCCACATTTTTCCTACTTGGGCCCTTTTCTTGTGAGCCCCGTAGTGTGGTTGGGGGGTTGGGGGGAAGGCAGCCAAGCACCATCTAGTTCTTCGAGTCTCAGAGTCTGGAGTTAAGGTGCAAGGGGCCCATTATTCCTTACAAATGTGGATGAATGGTTGAGTGGAAACCCAATTTGCTTAGTAAACTTTCACTCAAATCAAGAAAATAACACCCCCAAAACGCTATAGATAGGTAAGACAAAGTGAACATTTCCTGAGATGTCATAATCTATCCTTGGAGAGAGAGAAGGGGGGAGGGGACATGCCCAGGACAGAGGAGGCTTTTCTAGGAACTGAGAGGATCTTGGACTCACTTAGCCTATAGTAGCTAAGAGAATACGCCATCCCCTTTTCCTTATGAATCAGGGTGAAGTCTCTCTCAGGGAGGAGAGATAGGGAATGGCAAAGGACACACTGACAAAGGAGATTAATCAGAACTGGCTTTGACAAGCACTGTGGCAATGGGACAATTAAAACAGACATT